TTGGAGAAAATGGATTCACAGTTGAAATCACATGATTCACTACATTTATCTACTGGTTTTTTCAAAACGCTTGATAACCAGTTATCAAATAATGTCAAAATTTTCAAGGTATGGGATAATTCATTATAAAAAAAAGAGCTTTAACTCCTGGTTTGTTTCTAATTAGTTTAATTTGATCAAAAAAACAATATGTTGGTTTATAATTAAAACTAATAGTGAAAGCATTTTGTATTAAAGTATGGTTAATAAAAAGTTCTGTTTTTAATCTATTGGATGGGTCAAATCAATGCAATAGTTGTTCCACAATGATTGATTTAATTTTTCCAGTTTTTTTAAAACACACTGTATATTTATGTTAAAACTTTTATTTCCAAGTTATTAGTCATGTATCAGGAAGTTATTACATTTGAGAAATTTTGAGATAATGAAATAAATTTTGTAATTCTGTTGCAGATTTTATACATTTTTTTTTGTTCATAACACTAAAAATTTTACTATATTATTTTACATACATATATACAGTATACAGTCAAAGCTCGTTAAGGGTAGGAGGAATCACGTGTTAATTTAATAGTAAATCATGGCTCAATTTTTTTTGCCTGCCGGGTACAATGTTGATCAATATTTTTATGAAATATTAATATACATTAAAATTTCCTATAATAAAAATTAAAAAAAAAAAATTATATATATATATATATTTATTTATTTATTTATAAATAATAATCCCAAGAATGAGAATATATCATTTCTTCAGCACCCTCAGCAATATCTATAATTTTGGAATTTGTCAATGACTTATACCAACTGACCATTTTTGAATTGTAAAAATAAAATAAAATAAGAAGCCTTCATGTAGAAATAATTACTAGTAGATAACAATTTATCAAATATTTATTGAACTTTATTATTTTATGAGAATTTTTTGCCAAATAAGTATTTTATATTATGGAATGTGTAACTTTTACTAGGAAATGAGCAGGTGCTTACTAAGAAATGAGCAGGTGTTTACTATGGAAGAAGTTATGTTTATTTTGAAACGCGTTAAGTTTTTTGAAGAAATTTACAAATTTTTATTAAGAAGTTTTGCTTGAAGTACTTTCAAATAGTTAAGAAACACCAAAATTAGATATAAATAATTTTGAAGTTGTTTCAACGTGTCTTGCCGTTGTTTTACTTTTAAGACAATTACTAATTTGGGAAAACTCAAATTTTTGAAAAAATTGAGCCCCGGATTTACTATTAAATTAACACGTGATTCCCCCTACCCTTAAATTCATATTTGATAAATTCATAATTGCCTAAATTCATAATTTTTTCAGGAACCAATGCCACTTATATTAAAATCCCATTTGATAATTTCATAATCATAATAAAATCTCAATAATTGATAAAGTCATACCTCCATTACTGTTTATTATATGCCATCATATAATAAATCTCGCTCTTTAATTTCACATCTCATGTAACCATTACATAACCATTAAAAATATTGACTATTTTACATAAGTAATAATTTGGTTTTTTGGATAAACCATCAAGTCACATTATTTTAAGAACTTTATTAACCATTGAAAAAATGAATTCGAGCTTTCAATTTAAGCATAGAATTACAGATGATAATGAAGTTTCAATTGACAAAAAAAGAACAAAAAATAACTTGAAAAACATATAATTTGTGAAGAGCTTTTAGTTAAACCAAAACCAACACAAGAAGAATTAGCAGCTAAATATAATGTCACTCAAACAGCAATCTCTAAATTTTTAAAAATAAAGATAAATATCTTGCTTTAGATTCAGAAACAACAGACTTAAATAAAAAAAGAAATTGTCAAGCTGCATTTCCTGAAATTGAAGAAGCAGTTGTTATTTGGTTCTCATGTGCTTGCATAAGTAACTTAACAGTAACTAATGATGTTCTTAAGAAAAAGGCATTGGACTTTAGAGTTTTGCTTCAAATTAATAATTTTACAGCATCTGATTGTTGGTTGCAAAAATTTAAAAAGAGATTTAATGTACAATCGTTGTGAGGTCAGAGTGCACCACTTGATACATTAGAAGAAGAACATGTTAAACTAAAAGATGTCATTAGGCAATATGATTTAAACAATGTATTTAATGCAGATGAGACAGAATTGTATTGGGAACTTGAACCATCAAAAACGTTAGCAACTGGACCTGTTGTTGGTACCAAGAAATCAAAAAATTGAGTTACTATAATGCTTACATGCAATGCATTAGGTAGTGTTAAACTTAAACCATTGTTTATCCATTGATTTAAAACTCCTCAACCACTTCATGGCATTAATAAAGAAAGCTTACCAGTAAGTTATTACTGGAATTCTACTGCTTGGATGCAGCTTTCTATTTGGGAAGATTTTCTCTCCAAGCTGAACTTACAAATGAGAAATCAAAATTGTCATATACTTTTACTTATTGATAATGCTTCTACGCACAATATAACTAATATTGGACAACTTTCAAATATTAATATACATTAGCTACCTCCAAACACCACCTCACATCTTCAACCATTAGATGCCAGTATAATCAATTCATTTAAAGCTCAATACAGAAAAAGTCTTGTAAAGAATCGTGTTGATGCATATGATGATACAATAAACAACAATAAAAGTTCGGTAGATCCTACTAATATCTTGGATGCAATTAATTTTTGTGGTGAAGCACGGGATACAGTCTCACAATCAACAATAGTTAATTGTTGGAAGAAGACTAAAATTTTGCCAGATTATGATTTAAATACGATTCATGAATTACAAGAAGAAATAAATAATGATGAAATAATAAGAGAAGAGATTGATGAATTACAAGAAGAAATAAATAAACTCTATTTTAGCAAACCCATTTCAGCAATGGAATTTGTAAACATTGATAATGAAGTTTCTGAAGAGTTTTCTGATGCAGAAATTATTGAAACAGTATGTCCTTCACAAAATAATGAAGTTGCTGAAGATGAAGACGAAGAAATTGAACCTGTGCCTTCTATACCAGTTAAAAGTGCTCGGAAAATATTTTATCATTTCTAAAAACCCCCCCTCTGAATTTTCTTACAACCTAAATACTTTGTCTCCTTTTCGGAATTTTCATTCACAATTATTTAAATTCCATTTAGATAGCTTGAAGCAATCAACCATGGATGATTTTTTTTACAAATGAATAATGAATTGTTTTAGTATTTTTATTATTTGTTAATTATTAAATAATTAAATAATTGGGAATTTTTCAAAAATTTTTTTATTGAAGATCTTTTCTTTTTATAGAAAAAATATCTAAAGTCATACATTTCCTACAGTGCGGATCATCTATACTCAAAAGTTAAAATTTTTGAAATATTATGTGATCCACACATCGGATTTTAAAAAACTTACC